CGGTGGCCCCCAGCGGGCAGCTTGGCAGCGCCTCACGGAGACCCTGGCGGGCGGGGCTGCTGGACGGCTTCCTCTGGGTGGTCTAGGGGATGTTTGAGGTTGGAATTCGGGGCCAACGCTGGCTCAGGGAGTTGGGAGCTGCTGGCAGGGAGCCATGAGACGTGCAGGGGCCGCACGCAGGCCCTGTCCACGCGGAGCCCGGCCACCAGCACCCAGGACCGCGGAGGACGGGGGCTCCGCTTGCCACAGTCCTCGTGGGCTCAGGAGCCCTGTGCCCATTTGCTAGGTCTCAGCCTGTGGGTGCCCGTCTTCCTCGATGACTAAGCCCCTTCACCTCGGGAGCCTGCACCCCACCATCTGAGCCTCTGGGGAGCCTGCACCCCACTATCTGAGCCTCTGGGGAGCCCGCGCCCCACTATCTGAGCCTCTAAGGAGCCTGCACCCCACCATCTGAGCCTCTGGGGAGTCTGCACCCCACTATCTGAGCCTCTGGGGGTCCCACACCCCACTATCTGAGCCTCTGGGGAGCCTGCACCCCACTATCTGAGCCTCTGGGGAGCCTGCACCCCACGATCTGAGCCTCTGGGGAGCCCGCGCCCCTCTCTCTGGATGTCCGCATCGAGGTGCTAGGCTCTGGGTTTCACGCACCATCTTTCCAGTCTGTGCTCTTGTGTCTGTGAGTTTGGATTTCTGGGGGATGTGAGTCCCACTCTTTGGAGTTTGGGGGTGAATTTTAACCAATTCACCTGGAAATTGAGGGGACATACCCCACCTCTGATTGCACTGCACTATGTAACCCACCCCCCAAATGCTGGTGCTCCAACCCCTATGTTATAGAAGTGAGGTTCCCTGTGGCCCAGGGACTGGGGTCCCTCCCAGGGTCTGCACCCCACCCTGTCACTGCATCTCCAGGGGCCTATGAGCCCCTCTGCAGCTCTGGGGGGTCTAGCTCATCCAGGGCACCCTGGTGTCCGAGCGGCTCCCCCACTCCTGTGAATGCCTGGGGACACGCCTGACCCCCGAGTCCCCGTGCAGCCTTCTCCCGTCCCACCCCAGGTCTGGGCGGCATGCTCCCAGTCTGGGCATGGGGACGCTGCTCTGTGGTCACCAGGGCCCTGGACAGCCTGTCCCCACGCGCTGGCCCCAAGCTGCCTGAAGGCCCAACTGACACGTCTCGCTCGGCCCGGGTGCCAGGCCAGGCCGGTGGCCTCCGCCTGCGGTTTGGACGCCCCACTCCATCCGCCCCCTTCGCCTGTGTGGGTCCCATTCATCCCTGTGTCTAGCTCTGTGTGCTATTCATCTGTGTGCTGGGCGCCTGCCCTCCCGCCACCCAGGTGTCTGGGACGTCCCACCCCCGTCTCCAGAGGGGTGTCCCCACCCAGACACGTCTTGGCCTGTACCCCACGAGTCAGTGTGGGGTCCTGCACCCCATAGGGTACCTGGGGTCCTGAAACCATTCGTGTGCGTGTGGGGTTCTGAACCCCGCTGTCGGAGTGTCGGAGGACCGCACCCCACTCCGCTGGAGAGCTGAGTTGGGGTCCACAGCCAGGTGCTCCTGAGGCACCGAGCACTAACAGACTGAACCCCATTCCCTGCAGAACTGGGGTGACCTCTATGTTACCTGTCCTCTTGGCCTTTCTGTAGCCAGGATGAGGGGTGCTCTGTTAGACTGCAAAACTGGGGACCTGGTACCCCAATAGTACGGGCAATACAGCCCCACACTCTGAGGGTCTGGGTGCCTGGCCCTGAGGGCCCGGGACACTCAGCATGGCACCGCTGGAAGCCACCACCTGAACCCCGAGAGGGTCGGGTAGCCTGGTTCCCCGGAGCAGACGGGGCTGGTCCCTGTCACCCCGAAGTCCTGGGTGCAGAAGCAGGTCTGGACCGCCCGGTCCGTCCTCCAGGTCCGAGGCAGCCCAGCCTCCTCGCGCCAGGCTCCAGCCTCCAGCCCTTGGCTCCGGGCCTCACCGTCTGGTCCACGGTTTTCTGAGTATCTGGGCAGCCTGTACCCCCTCCTCCGAACGCCAACCTGACGGATACACAGCTCCCCAGTTCCCAGGGCCTCTGGGGGTGAAAGCCCTGCCGCCTGAGGTCCGGCGCCCCCTCCATCCGTGTTGCCCCACTTGCCTGCGCTGCTGGGGCCACACTCCTGTCAGGGTCCTGGGTCACCCACACGCCTGCCTCTCACGCCCGCCCACGTGAGCCGGGTCTCTGCCCACTCGTGACGCTGCCAGGCCGGCTACCCTCACCCCTCGAGCATCGGGCGAAGCCGCCCTCATGCAGGGGCCTCGCGACCCCACTCCTGACTGTGAAGAGCTGACCCTGAACCCCAGGCCCACGTCCAGGCGACAGGCCTGTGACCACCACGTGCAGATGCTCCCCGAAATGTCTGGGGTCCGGACGTGGCACCCCGTCCCTGAGGGCCTGAATCACACAGAGGTCTACATTTTGGGGTGCTCTGCGCCCCACTCACTGGGGACATCAGCAGCGTGTCCCCTCAGCGCCTGCACCCACCCCTCACGGCGGCTCACGTCCAGGTCTGGGGCCCCCGCTGGCCAGTTCCAAGCCCGCCTTGTGCTTGTACACCCGGCGCCCATTCACGGGTGTCCGGCCTGTGTGAGCCCATTCATCCCCCTCCCCCCGCGGCCACCGGCTCCTGCGTGACTCCGGGCAGGCTGCGGCCCGTCCGCCCCCACCTCCAAGACAGTCTGTGCTTTGTCGTCCCTGTTCCAGGAACAGCCGCCGCAGGCCAGCAGGCACATTCCAGGGTTTGGCCGAGCGCCAACGCAAACCCGTTTGCTGGCATAGCAGCGAGAGGGGGCAGGGCGGGAGGCCGTGGCGGGGAGAGGGGGACCCTCCGGGTGGGACATGCGATCAAAGCCTTCCCTACATGGAGCGTGTCCTGGACGGGCTGCCAGCGGGGAGGGAGCGGCTGCGTGCAAATTCCAGACCCTCCACCGCCGCCCCTCCACCCCTCCACCGCCCAGGCAGCCCCTCCGCCGCCCATGGCCTCCCGGCCGCCAGACTCGTCCCCGTCAGCTCAGCAGGGCCCAGGGCCAGGCCAGGGGTGGGGGGCAGAGGTGGGAGGTGGGTTTTCTACCTCGGGGACCACAGACAGACCCTGCTCCCCGCTGCCACCCTGGCCGACCACCTCCCCGCCTCGGCCCAGGGAGACGGGGCCGGCTCCAGCATGCTGCCCCATCGGGCCCCCTTCGGGGCGGGCTGCGCTCTGCCTGCACTGTCTCCCGCCTCTGCCAGGATGAGGTGTTGTGCCCCTGTGCCCCTTCCTGCCCGGGGTCCCTGGGGCGCAGGGAATCCGTTGTCCCGGCTCCCCAGAGCTGCCTGTGAGCCAGGACAAGGGCCCCCTCTCTCGGACTCTCTGGAGGGACTGTCCCTCGGGATCTCCTCTGGCAGGTGTCCCCACAGGTGAGAGGATCCCTGCCCCCTCTCGCTCTCGTTGGCCCTGGGACTGCCCACCTCCTGGGCCCTGCGCTTCCCCCACACTCGGAGCTCGGGGCCTGGCACCAGCCTGTCCCTCCACCCGCCCCCTCCGGCCCCCAGGGCCGTGCAGAACGCCCAGGAGCCCCTTCAAGCAGGTGTGAGGGCTGTGGGGCTGTGAGGCTCTCCTGCCCCTGTGGGCTGGGTGGGCTGCGCTGAATCTGGCCCGAGGGACACTGGGCCCCGGCACCAGGCTGGACCATGGGCTGTGGGTGTGGACAGGCCCTGGAGGGGGTCTGAAGGCCACTTCCAGGGCCAGCCATGCAGCAGACGGCCCATCGGGGTCACTCTGGTGCTCGTGATGCCAGGTGAAACCTGTCAAGTGGGGACGGGGGGGCACCCCGAGCCTACAGTGACGAGACAGCTCCCATTTGCCAGGACCCCAAGGGACCACGTGTGGCCCCTGAGCAAGCGCTGGGGAGCTCACCACAGAGAACTAGGAACGAGCCGGGGCCACCCCAGTCCCCCCAAAGAGTCCCCAAAGCTCCGGAGAGGGTGTCCTGTTCCAGGCCTGCAGCTCTCCCGCTCAGGCTAGGGCTCCCCCGGGCCCTGGCTGGGCCCCCCACTCTGCTGCTGGTGGTCTGCAGGTGACAGCTGAGAGCCGGGGAGCCCAGGACCCAGCCCCCAACATGTCCCCTCGGTGGGCCTTTCTCACTCCCGGTGGCCACCCCCAGGGCAGCCAGGGGCCTGGGACCCTCGACCAGCCCGTCAGCACACCTCGGCCTCGGAGGCGGGCACCGTAGGGCCAGGGCTCAGGTGGCCAGGTGACCGAGCGGGAGGAAGACGAGATCAGCCAGGTTCCAAGCTCCCCCTGCTGTCCGCCGGCTGCTGCTGGAGGCGGCTGACCTGCTCCCACTGACCCCGCTGCCTCCCTGCCAGCCCGCCCGGCTCCGCCCGCCCTGCCCAGCCCCGTGCAGCCCAGCTGGAGGCCCTGGCAGGCATGTGGGCGCCCCCTCTGCACACGGGCTTCCCCCTGGGCCCCTCCGCAGCCCCCGACCTGGCCTCCTCGTCCTGGAGGGCCCATCCCGGGAGCCCCGACTCCAGAACTTTCTGACCGAAGCCCCTCTCAGTGGAGTCGCCACGCTGACCCCCTTCCTGGATTCGGGGCCCCTCCTGGCACCTGGTCAGCACAGTAACCTCCCCCCAGCCCCTCAGTCCCCTCAGCCCCCTCACTTGTCCAGGAGGGAGGGCGGGTCCTCGGGAAAAAGCTACAGCTTCCTGACCTCACACCTGCCCCGACCCCACCCCAGAGGGTCACCTGAGTCCTGGTCGCAGGGCAGCAAAGGCCCCTGCGGGAGGCACAAGGACATCTCCCAGCGCCCAGCCCCCAGGACAGGCCGGGACAAAGGGGTCCAAGGGCCGGGAGCTCCCCGATGCCCTGGGGAAGCAGGGTGGGGCCGAGAGATAAAGAGGTGACAGGTGGGGCTGGGGACACCTGAGCTCCGGGCACCAGGGGACACCTGCGTTTCCGTGGGTCTCAGCTGGGTGCATGGAGACCGGGGTCCCTCCGCCCGTAGCCAGGCAGCACCAAGCAGCTTGGCTGAGCGTCCCCCACCTGCACCCTCCCCTGTCCCTGGGTCGTGGCAGCGCTACCTGCAGGGCTGCTGGGACTCAGGGGCTCCTGTGACGAGGGCACGGCATCTCTTGTAAAGAACATTCCTGTCCTGCCCGGCCGGCGAGGCTCTCGGGTTGAGCATCAACCTATGAACCAGGAGGTTTGATTCCCGGTCAGGCCACAGGCCCGGGTGGTGGGCTTGATCCCCAGTGTAGGGTGTGCAGGAGGCAGCCAATCGATGATTCTCTCTCATCATTGAAGTTTCTGTCTCTCCCTCTCCCTTCCTCTCTGAAATCCTATATAATAAAGGTCTAATATGCTGTGTCCGACCCTTCATTCTACTGTTCTATCAGTCGCTATGATGCACACTGACCACCAGGGGGCAGACGCTCCGACCAGTAGGTTAGCTTGCTGCTGGGACCGGGCAGATTGGGACCAGGAGAGACGGCCAGACCCGCCCTGGAGCCCTCCTGTGGTCCCTCCCCCGCCTCTAAAATATTTCTTCTAATTAATTTCCGTTTAATGTGCATGAATCATCATTGAGGTTTCTGTCTCTCTCCGTCTCCCTTCCTCTCTGAAATCAATAAAAATATATTTTTTAAAAAAAGCAATGTCTCCAGACATTGCCATCTGTCCTTGGGAGACAGAATCTCACACACACACACACACACACACACACACACACACGCGCGCCCAGACCGCTGTCCTGGAGCCGCTAGCTCACCTGGGCTTACAAATCGACAATTTCCCAAATCTGGCCTTTCCACAGCATTTATTTCTAAGAATCCTCCTCAGTGCCCCACGGCACAAATCCGGAACAAGGGTAAATGCTGACTCTCAAACTCGTATGTATCTCACCAAGAACTTGTGAATTCAGACATTTGTCTAAATATAGCTCCTGTGTGTAGTCCTTTTCCCCGGCCGTGCAGCACTGACCAGAGGCTGGAAGGCATTTCTGGCGTCCAGCGTTCGGAGTGACTCAGCCGGTCCTCTGCCCGCCACCCAGGCTGAGCTCAGGAGATTTGGGCCGGGTCCTCGTCGGGACGCCCCACCCCCCAGGGGGTCCGGGCAGGGCGTTGGCAGAATTCATTTCCACACAGTTGCAGAGTCCTGGTCTGATGTCTGCAGAGAAGGGCCTGCCTGAAGGTCACCTCTACCAGGAAGCCCTCCTGGACTCACTCAGCATCCACAGATGAGGGGCGGCACATCACCTTCATTTTTGCCCTCGTCTCTTTTTTTTTTTCCTTCTTTCTTTTTAAAAATTTTTATTGATGTCAGAGAAGAAGGGAGAGGGAGAGAGAGAAAGAAACATCAGTGATGAGAGAATCATGGATCGGCTGCCTCCTGCACGCCCCCCCCCCCAACTGGGGATCGAGCCTGCATCCCGGGCCTGTGTCCTGACCAGGAATCGAACCGTGACCTCCTGGTTCCTAGGTCAGTGCTCAACCTCTGAGCCACGCTGGCTGGCACATTTGTGTTTTGAGTGAGAACCTACCACACAGTCTGCTGGCAGATTCGGTGTGGCTGTGAGGGAAGGGAGGGGCCAGGGCTGCCCCTGGCCGAGCTGGACATCTGAGGGCAGAGGGGCACCTGTAAGGGCAGAGCAGGTCGGGGTGGGGGCGGTCAGGATGTGGGGGCCGCGTATCTGGCATTCAAAGCCACGGGAATAAATCAGTTCCCTGGGAACGGAGCCGGAAGAGCCGGCGGGCTGAGTGCGGGTGGCATTCCCCTGGAGGGGAGTGAGGAGGAAAATGTCAAATTAATTCACAGCCGGGGGGAGATGAGTTATCTCGTACCCCACGCGAAATCGTTCAGAGAGACCCACGATTTAACAACAGAACATGGGATTTGAACAGAATCCGCTGATGGTGGGGGACAGGGCAGCGGACGGGTGCGAGTGAGGCTCTGGAGCCAGAGGCCCGGCTCACGTCTGCCGGTGGTCGCCGGCTGGGATAAGTACTGTGCCGGCCTGACACGCCCCGTGGCGAGCGCACCCTCAAGTGCCCCCGAGAGTCACCTGGTACCCAACCCGCACCCTCCCCTTTGGTGTGGGTGGCGCCTGTGACTCACTTCTCACTAAGAGACGAGGGCAGCTGGCTGGCGCGGCTCAGTGGTTGAGCGTCGACCTAGGAACATCCTTGATGTTTCTATCTCCCTTCCTCTCTGAAATCAATAAAAATATATTTATAGAAAAAAACACACCAAAAAACAACCCTGCAAATGTGTCCAGAGTCTGCTGGCTCCCTCGACGAGCTGTCTACCCCCTGAGTCCCCCCGGGTGTCCAGGCAGAGGGGAGAGGGTCTCACCACTGGCCTCTGAGGCCGAGATCGGGGTCGCGGGGCCCCCAGGAAGCCCGGGTCTGTGCTGTGTGATGTTGCAGAGACAACAGGGTCTCTTGGCTCGGGTGAGGTTTGCTCTCCTCTCCTAGGGCCGCCGCTGGGAGCCGCTGCACAAGCCGTGCCACTGCCGCTCCGTCCAGGGCAGGGGTCCTCAAACTACGGCCCGCGGGCCACATGCAAATACAAATATTGTATTTGTTCCCGTTTTGTTTTTTTACTTCAAAATAAGATATGTGCAGTGTGCATAGGAATTTGTTCATAGTTTTTTTTAAAACTATAGTCCGGCCCTCCAATGGTCTGAGGGACAGTGAACTGGCCCCCTGTTTAAAAAGTTTGAGGACCCCTGGTCCAGGGGATGCCGACTCACCCAGGCCCACGGTGCCACACTCCTCTTCCCTCAGGCTGAGGAGGTGCTGGGCGGGGGGGGGCGGTGAGCCACGCAGGATGCATCGAGGTGGACGTGGGCCCCAGGCCCCGCTGGGATCCGTGCCTCCTGCTCCAAACACGTGCTGTCCACCTGCCCCGTCTCCTCCGTGAGAGCCCATCTCCTGTGCTCGCTCCCCGTAAATCTCCGAGGCCCGGAGGCAGAGCCAGGCAGATGCCGGGGTCTTTGTTCTCAGAAGAGTTGTGGCCAGAACTTCAAAACGTCCTAAGGAAGTGAGAGCAGGAAGAGAAACATCTGGGAGACGGCTGCTTCCCGACACCCTCCATCCCGAAACCAGCGGGGAATGTGGGGCATAAAACACATTGCGTGACATCAGGCAGCAGGGCAGGGGTCCCTGGGGCGGGGGATGGGGGGGGGTGCACCCATCCGCCTGGAGAGGGTTTCCAGGCGCAGATGGCGCCTGACAGTCTGCTGAGCTAAGCCGACCTCGGAGCCCAGGGAGGTCACACGCTGGAGGTCACACAGTGGAGGTCACATGGTGGGTCCCGGGGCAGGCAGAGCCGCCGGGAGAGCCCCAGGCACCGTGAGGATCCCTCGAAAGTTTTCAGCTGCCAGGATGGGTGAATACACGGGAAAACCACCCTGAGATGGGGACAGACGCCTGACACAGACACGGAGGGAGCAAAACTCAGAGCTCCCAGCACTGGGAACGCTCGCCCCTCAACCCAACGGTGGGAACCTCGGAGCTCACAGGGGCTGGGCAGAGCCCCCAGGAGGGCCTGGCCTCCTCGGAGGGAAAGATCAGCTCCGGGCGAAGGCTGAGCCGCTTCTGCTAGCGAGGCTCCTCCACTGAGACGCAGGCAGCCCGGCCGGCGTGTGAACCGGGAGGTCAGGGTTCGATCGGTCAGGGCACATGCTGGGGGGCGGGGGGGCTCCATCCACAACGGTGTGGGGCGTGCAGGAGGCAGCCAACCCATGACTCTCTCTCACCACTGATGTTTCTCTCGCTCTCCCTCTCCCTTCCTCTCTGAAATCAATAAAAATATATTTTTTTAAAAAAAGACTGAAATAAAGAGGTTCTTGGTCACTGAGACGGGGGAGCCCTGGAGGGGCCCTGGAGCAAGAAGCTGAGAGTAACCGCACCAACCGCACCAGGAAAACACCCCCACTCCCAGGACAGCAGGAGCCGAGCGCTCCGTCCACAGGATCCCGCTGGGAGAGCAGCCTGAGCGCCAGGGGAGGGGGCAGCCCGCCGCTCCCCACATTTCAGCCTCAGCCAAGAACTGCGGATGCAAAAGGGGCCACGTGCTGCACCCGACAGGCTCCGGGGAGGCCTGCATGGCGGCCCCCCCACCTCAGAGACCGAAGGAACCCACAGGAGGGCGTGAACGTAAACACTCCGGGGCAGCAAGCCCCCCGCGGCCTGCAGTCTCCTCCACACGAGCCAACCTCTACCTTAAGAGAGTCCTCGCCTGTCCTGTGCCTGGACGGTGACCTGCCTTTGAGATGTCAGAGACCCACCAGAGCAGGACCCCTCAGAGCCCTTGGTCGGGGCAGACACAGGACACCAGGGACCAGCTACAGTTCTCAGACACGAATCCTGCTCTGTTCACCGCGATGGCTTTGTTCCGATTAAAGAAGGCGCGTTCTAACCCGGCGGGAGCTGTGCACCCCGGGGACCTGGGAGCCAACCTCGGAATGTGGACCCTCTCTTCCCGCCCAGTATCCTGGGCAGGTTAACCCCTTGTTGCCCACACGATGGAGCCCGCCCACATGGCCTGTGACCTGGAACCATCACACCCATTCTTACTCCCTTTGCCGGCTGCCCCAGGAGTCCTTGTCCGGCCCCATGTAAGCAGCTGGCTTGCGGTGGGCGCAGGGCAGCGGTTTGTGGATGGCCTGCTGCCGGCAGGATTGGAACGCACGCTCATGGATGAGCTCGTAACGGGCCTCAGGTAGTGACAGCGCCCGGACGCCCTGCTGGTGTGGTTTCACCCCCGGAGGTATCTTGCTCCCTGCACACCTTCCCCACGTGCAGGAAATGTCAGTAACTCCCCACCCCGGGAAAGAAGTGCTTCTCGGGTTTGCTCTTGTTTTTGTTAATCCTCACCCGAGGATATTTTTCCGTTGATTTTTAGAGAGAGTGGAAGAGAGAGGGAAAGACAGAGAGAAACATCGATGTGAGAGAAACACATCAATTGGTTGCCTCCTGCACGCGCCCTAACCAGGGCCCGGGCCAGGGAGGAGCCTGCAATCGAGGTGCATGCCCTTGACCGGAATCCAACTGGAGTTACAATGATGATATATATGCGATTTGATATGCATGTTATTTTGTTGTATTGACAGCAAGCTTCAAAACTTCAAATTTTCTGAAGGTGTTAACATCAGATATTTTTACGCTTAAAAATGTCAAATTTCCAAATGCCAAAAAAAGAGCACTTGCGGGAAGTTTTAATTTATTTATTTTGAAGAAAAGAGCTGCTGAAAGTGATCGTATACTTTGGGAAGCTTATGGTGAACATGCTCCATCTCAAGATACTTGTGAACGCTGGTTTAAACGCTTTAAAAGTGATGGTTTCGATGTGAAAGACAAAGAACGTCCAGGTCAACCGAAAAAGTTTGAAGACCAACAATGACAAGCATTATTGGATGAAGATGTGTGTCAAATTCAAAAACAACTTGCAGAAAGATTAAGCGTTGCTCAGCAAACAATTTCCGATCGTTTACAAGCAATGGGAAGGATTTTAAAGGAAGGAAAATGGGTGCCACATCAACTGGACAAAAGACAAATGCTCTTTTTTTTGGCATTTAGAAATTTGACATTTTTAAGCGTAAAAATATCTATGATGTTAACACCTTCAGAAAATTTGACATATGAGGTTTTGAAGCTTGTTGTCAATACAACAAAATAGCATACATATCAAATCGCATATATATCAACATATATGTAACTCCATCTATTGAAAAAAATCCGCATTAACCGGTTCACCTAGTATGTGCCCTTGACCGGAATCGAACCCGGGATCCTTCAGTCCACAGGCCGACACTCTATCCACTGAGCCAAACCGGCCAGGGCTCTCAGGGTTACTCATGATCCAGTCCCAGAGCTTTCCCCGCTCTGCTTTCTCCGCCCCCTTAATCTACCACCACGGATTGCACGTGACCCCCCTCGCGCCTCGGCTTTTATTCTAATTGCAACATAAACTGCAAAACTGCCGTTTTCCGGAGCGTTTTCTCAAGCCGCAGAGTTTGGTCGTCAGTCTGGCTCTAGTGAACACACCGAAATCTGCAGGTTTGGGTGTTTCTTACCTCGAAGGACCCGGCCTCGCCCTCTGGGTCTGCCCAGAACTGGTGAGAATGAACGCGGCTGTTGGGCGGCTGCACTGGTGCCTACACTCGAGCAGGAGGAAGTCCTCAAACCAACTGCCTCGATTCCCACCCTAGGAAACCAGAAAAGAGAAACACAAATCAAATCTACAGTGAGAGGAAGGAAGAGAGGAGGGAGGGAGGGAGGGAGGGAGGGAGGAGATGATGCAGGAGTAGAAACCTATGAGGTAGAAGACAGAAAACCAATGAAACTATCTAGTCAGATTTATTCAGAAAGAAAGGAGAGAAGATACAAATCATCGACATCAGGAATGAGGTAGGAGTGATCATCGCAGATCCTACAAAAACGGAATAAGAGAAGTCAGCCCAGCCGGCGTGGCTCAGGGGTTGACTATGAACCAGGAGGTCACGGTTCAGTTCCCGGTCGGGGCACAGGCCCGGGTTGCAGGCTCCATCCCCAGTGTGGGGCGCACAGGAGGCAGCTGATTGATGATTCTCTTTCATCACTGAAATTTCTACCACCCTCTCTGAAATCAATAAAAATATATATATGTTTTTATAAATGAAGGTTTACAGGGCAAAAGCGGGGCCTACAGATCGAGAAGCTAAGTGGACTGCTGAGGGGAGATCACCTCCCCTTGGGGAAGGCAGGGGTCTTTCAGCCAAAGATCAGACGGATGGGCCCCGCCCGCCCCGCTCCCTGCCCCTGAGTCACTGCTCCAAAGAGGGGGGCATCACAGCCCCCAACCCGTTTATCCAGCTGCCCGGGAGGGGCTGGGTGCCACGGGGGAGCTGGCATCCCTGAGAGCGGCGGGCACTGACCGCCAGCCATGGGCCCACCCCTGGGCACAGGCCCCCGTGTCCCGTGGGCGGAGGGTGGGGAGCTGCGGGGAGACTGATAAGGTCAGTTCCGGGAGCCGAGGCAGAGCAGGTTCTCCCGGGAGCGGAGGCCTCCCCTGGGCTCACGGGCACACCTCTGCACCCCCTCCGAGAGTTCGGGACAGGGTCGCCGGGCCCTGCCCTCTGGGGGCCAGCGATGTGGGCACCCCCTCCCCGTGGCTCTGCAAGGACATCTCTGGGTCGAGGCAGGCACGGAGGCGAGATGGCCCGGCCCAGCACGGCAGGCCGTGTGGTGTGGAGCGAGGTCAGCTGTGGCCGCAGCGGATGAGGTGAGTGCAGAGGTGTGGGTGGTGCCCTCTCCCCAGGGGCCTCCAGCTGCCAAGGCACAAGCCGTGCCTTTGTTCTGTGGACACTTGCAGGGCCCGGGAGCACTTAGGCAAGGCCACCGCATTGCTCAATCCCCGCACTCACCGAGCCTGCTCGCTCGCAAAACAGGCCACCAGCCGACCGGCCGGGTGAGTTGGCAGAGCAATCCGACCCCACAGGCTGCCTGGCCCGGCAACTCGCCCGTCCCCGGGGCCCAGCTCACTCAACCAGCCCCACGGCCTCCCCTCCCACAGTCCTGCGAGCCTCCCCAAGTCCAGCACCCACCCATCCTACCCCAGCCCCTCCGCTTAACCCCCGGGTGTCCCCCTCGGATGCTGGGCTCCGGATGCCTGCCCCTCCCCCGCTTCTCACCCTGCCCACCTGCCCTGGCCTTTGTGCAGGTTCTAGGCCAGGCTCTGGCAGCTGACTCCATCCCTCTCCCTCCCTTGGCCTTGTCCTGACTTTGCCCAGAGGTACAATGTCCTTGGGGACAGCTCTCTCTGCAGTCCAGCCACCGGCACCGCCCACGCTCTGGGCCCCCAACCGAAGTCCTGTCCTCTCCCTAATGTTCTCTGTGTCGAGAGAGGGCACCCATGTTCCGACCCCCAGGCCTGTGCCCATGTGGCCTCACAGGGCAAAGGGGGCTTTGCAGATCAGGCTGTGGACCCTGAAAGGCAGGAGGACCCTGGGTGACCCAGTGGGTCCCCTGGAATCACAGGGGTCCCTGGGAAAAGGAGGCAGGCGGGGTGGGGGGGGGGGGGGGGGGCAGGGCAGGGCCATGCGCCCAGGACGCAGCATCCCCAGGAGCTGGAAAGGCAGGAGGCGGGGTCTGCCCTGGAGCCTCGGGAAGGACTGGCCAGCAGCACCTTGGTTCCAGCTGGGAGGCCGTTTACGGACTTCTGGCCTCCAGACCACAGGAGGATGACTCCGTGTTGTTTTAGCCACTCCACCTGTGGTCCTTCGTCATGGCAGCCGCAGGGCCCTGGCAGGCAGTGCTGTTTGCCCAGTGACTCACTCCTCTTCCTCACCTCCCCGTGCCCACCACTTCCTCGTATGTCGTCACTCCCTCGTTCCCATTCTTCAGGATGATCCAAGTTCAGGTCCAGCCCCTTCCACGTGTCACACTGAGGAGAGGGACTGCTCGGGGCTGGGGCCCTGTCCTCCTTTCTGTCCACGTCCCTGCGGTAACTCGGCCCTCACCCAGGGCCTGCACACCAACCTCAGCCACCTCCACCCCCAGAGGCCTTCGCCCAGCCCTCCTCCCTGAGTACCCCGAACAGTCACCAACACCCCTCTGCTTGGCCACCACCACCTGCCTGGCTCACAACCCCCCACAGCACCTCTCAGGGAAGCCTTTCCTGTACCTGCCTGTATTGGTCAGGATTCTCCAGAGAGACAGCGTGCTTATCTATCTGTCTGTCCATTCATGCTTCCATCATCCACCCATCCATCTACCCATCATCCATCCCTCTTTCCATCCATCCATCATCCATCCATCCGTCTATCCATCTATCTATCCATCCCTCTTTCTATCCATCATCCATCCATCCATCCATTCGTCATCCATCCCTCTTTCCATCCACCCATCCATCCATCCATCTACCTATCCATCCATCCATCCATCTATCCATCATCCATCCCTCTTTCTATCCATCCTCCATCCATCCATCCATCCATCCATCCATCCATTCGTCATCCATCCCTCTTTCCACCCATCCATCCATCATCCATCCATCTATGTATCCACCCATCCAGCCATCTACCCATCCATCTATCCATCTATCCATCATCTATCCCTCTTTCTATCCATCATCCATCATCCACCCATCCATCCATCCATCCATCCACCCATCCATCCATCCATCCACCATCCATCCTCCATCCATCCCATCCATCATCTATCCCTCTTTCTATCCATCATCCATCCACCCATCCATCCATCTATCCGTTCATCCATCCATCATCCATCCCTCTTTTTATCCATCATCCATCCATCCATCCACACATCCATCCATCATCCATCTATACATCTTCCATCCATCCTTCCACCATCTCTCCATCCACCAACCCACCACCTATACACCTTCTATCCATCTATCTTTCCTTTCATCTATCCATCCATCATCCATCATCCATCCATCCATCCATCCATCCATCCATCCATCTGTCCATCCATCCATCGGTCCATCCATCTATCACCCATCATCCATCCCTCTTTCCATCCATCATCCATCATCTAGAGAGATAATTTGAAGGGATTGGCTCACGTGACTGTGGGTCCTGCTGGCTGGAGCCCCAGGAAGCTGAGGTTGCAGCTCCAGTCAGAAGGCATCTGGAGGTAGAATTCCTTCGCCCTCGCGGATCTCAGTCTTTTCTCAAGGCTGCAGCTGACTGGCTGAGGCCCACCACGCGATGGAGGGCGATCTGCTTCAGTCCAAGCCTGCTGACTGGACTGTCAATCACATGTGAAGGTCACCTCAACAGAAACACCCAGAACGTTTGACCAAGTAGCTGGGCACCACGACCAGCCGAGTTAACACCCCGTGGCTGCCCATCCTCCCCTCATCTGCACTCGCCTCGGGCACCTCTGTCCTCTGCCACTCAGAGCTCTGTGCTCGCACCCGAGCCTGTCGCCAAGTGTCAGAAAATGCAGGACACAGACCCCAAGGGCAGGGGCCGGGCTGCACCTCGAGAGCTCTGTGCAGCTCACCCAACCTCAAACCCGCCACCACAATGTGCCCCCTGAGCCCCAACACCCCCCACACTTCAGGCTTCAGGCCTCGTGGGGCCCCTAAGAGGGGTTCCCTGCGTTCCCGGTTTGTCTCCCCAGTGAATTGGGGTAGAGGCAGCTATGCCCTCCCGGGCCCCCCACAGCCTGGCCAAGTGTATGTCTGCCTCAGGCACTCCTGGGGTTCCCCATGTGGCTGCCAGACCCCCCAAACCACTTCCCAAGGGCAGCCATGATGGAGGAAGGCCATGGCTCTGAGCTCAATCCTTGGCCCTGGGTGCCTACTCCAGAGGGCTTGTGAGCCACTAGGACTCTGGTCTCCTTTTCATCAGCATCTAGACCAGCCGTGGGCAAACTACGGCCCGCGGGCCGGATCCGGCCCGTTTGAAATGAATAAAACTAAAAAAAAAAAAAGACCGTACCCTTTTATGTAATGATGTTTACTTTGAATTTACATTAGTTCACACAAACACTCCATCCATGCTTTTGTTCCGGCCCTCCGGTCCAGTTTAAGAACCCATTGTGGCCCTCGAGTCAAAAAGTTTGCCCACCCCTGATCTAGACTGAAGCCCTGAGATATGGTTCTGTTCTCAAAGCCTCTGAGCTTTGTCTCTATCTCAGCACAATCCACCAGTGTGTGAGTGTGCGTGTGCGTGTGTGTGTGTGTGCCTGTATGTGTGTGTGAGGGGGGTGTTGAGGGGGTGGTGACTTCACAGCTCAGCAGGTCCACCCACCGACTGAAGAAAGCAAGTTCCCCGGCAGCACCTGGGCTCCCCTCGGCCCCAAAGCGCCAGGCCCGCCGCAGCTCCCTGCTGGTCGGGAGTCGGCCCCACACTGGGCACAGGACTGGGACGTTGGTGGCTGGGGCTCAGGGGAGAAGCCAAGGCCCAGTGGAGAGGACACGCGGACTGGGCTCCAGCCCTTGTGGGCCTGGACGCTGGGCCTCGCTGCTGTGCAGAGAGCTGCACTGAGGTGTGGGGCAGTACCCGGGTGGGAAGCCCTGAGTGACAGCGGGGAGGGGGTGGCTGACCCTTGTGGGGAGAACCGAAGGGCACGAGGCCAAGCCAGGTCCTGTCCGGCAGGGCACCCAGAACGCCCCCTCCTGGACCAGCCGAGCCTGACATTCCCCCCGCTCCACCCCCTGTGCCCGTCACCCTCCCCCTGTCCTAACGGTGCCAGCCACTCTCAGCCCACCCTCCCCCACCAACTCAGGCCCCGTCCAAGGAGCTGACCCGAAGCTAATTCCCTCAATGGCCTCCTCCACAGCAGAACTAATGTCCTGGGCCTGTGGCTGGGGCCCCAGGGAGCTGCACCCCCACTTCCTCCTGGCTCCGAGGGCTGAGGTGGGGTGACTCAGGCCCAATTGGAGGGCAGGGCAGGGAGGGCAGCCCAGCAGGCATGACTCAGCTTCTTAGCCGTTCCCCCACCCACCTCCTGGGAGGACCTGTCACAACGACTTCCCACCCGGCACCCAGAGCAGCCCCGGCCCGGCCGCCCTGCAGCCCAGCCCCCTGTGCACCCACAGACCTTTCCTCACCTCGGGGCACCAGGAAACCAGGAAACCACAGGCTCAGAGCTGCAGCTGAGGGCGTGGCCAGCACACGCTCCTCCCGGGCTGCTGGGGGGTCTCGGGGCCTCCGGGTGACACCCAGGCCCAGGGCAGGGGCCCAGGGCAGAGAAGAGACTGCCACCAGTTCGGACCCCTTCCCTCCTCCCTGAGGGACAGAGGGACAGAGGCGAGAGAAGGGCCAGCAGCCGCAGCCCCAGCTCCGCGTCCACTGTGTGCGCTGGGGTTTGGTCCTTCTCAAAGCCTGTCGCCTCCAGTGGTGTGAATCTGATGAATGATTAACCTCGCTCCCGGCGCCTTCCGTCTGGGGCCATTGTCAGCGCTGCTGCGTGCACATCCTCGTACCTGACCCGGTGACTGGGGACACTGCGCTGTGGGTGTCTGTCCCTCGAAGAGGTGGCACTGGCCGGGGGCAGCTCGGGACCAGCTTTCACGGACGGGGCACACGGCTCCCAAAGTGCTTGTGCCAATTCGCCGTCCAGCCGGCCGCTCGCTCCATCGCTCCGTCCCGACCATGTGCTTCCCAGCGTCTCCACACAGCGTCCTGGCGGGTGTTCCGGGCGAGCAGCTCCCGTCTGCACCTCCTGAGGACCAATGCAGACACCACCTCCACATGCCACCGGGCGCCTGGCTTCCCTTGCCCGTTGCTTCTCTGTTTTTTTCTTTTTCTATTGGGTTGTCTATCTTTTATCAGCTTGCGGTTCTTCTTCACTTTACATGCTATTGCTGGTCGGACACCTGAGGCGTGTTCTCCATCCCGTAGCTCGCCTTTCACTCTCCTGTCTCGCTGTTTTCTGAGGGACAGGAGTCAGTCGAGTTAGCACAGTCCAGGTCCTCATTTTCCCCTAGAAGAGGTGGGCGCTGCTCCCCCCCCCCCCC